TCTTAGTCTTAATCTTAATCTTGGAAAGATCCCATCTTTTAACTTTAGTCCCTAATGTCCTAAGGCCGGGCCAATGAGGTAAGTCTGACGTCCGACGCAGCACGAAACCGCGCGAAATAATGGTTTTCGATTCTTGTAAAATACGAAAATGAGTGATGCTGATTTAATTGAATGTGTCCAACAATTCGATGTTGTTTGGAATAAAAAAAAATCCAAATTATAAAATAAATTAGTGGTGAAGAATAGTTGGAACGCTATTGGAGAAGCGCTAAATTTAAGTGGTAAGTTAGTATGTAGAATCTAACCTCTTAAATTGAAAGAACAAAAACTGTGTAGGAGTGTTTTTATAGTTTTTCTATTACAATTTGTGGTTAGGTTAGGTTAGGTTTTGTTACATTTGCACATGCGTAGTCCGAATTTCCAGGGAAGCATAAACGAGTCCTTAAGATTAAGTTAAGACTAAGACTAAGATTAAGATTAAGACCGAAGCATAAACCAGCCATGATTAAGTTAAGACTAAGACTAAGATTAAGATTAAGATCGAAGCATAAACCAGCCATCATTGATGGAAAGCGCCCTGTCTGACATCGTGTCAATGTATGTCGCCTAAATGCCTTGATGGAAAGCTCCCACTATCACCTTCCCCTCGTAGAATACTCCGTCCATATATTCTTACGTCAGTGAGCGGAACCGGGACCACGGTGGGCGAAATCGCATCACTGACGAGAAGGAAGCGTCGGCGTATAGCGTCCATCTAGCGGGTTAGCAAAGAGCGCCTTTGCGCGCGAAACTTCAATCGTATGTGGCGCGTTTGAACCGGAGCGGTCACAAGTGCCGCTTCCCGGATTTTGTCCTAGGCGATCGACTAGTTCGCCTATATGGTTGCGTCGACCCTGAATGTATGCAACGCAGCTCTTAATTTCGCATGTCACTTTAATTTGGAAAAAAAGTTCAACATGAGATGCTGTGAAAATTGTTTACATTTTTTCCATAAATACTACAGCACACTAATTGACTCATCACGGAAAACACGTTAAAAAAATTTATAATTTTATATTCAATAATCAGATGTGCAGTGTATGATAAATGTTCAAACGAGCTGATTTTCTACTTATTAAATACCATGAATTCCAAGTTATTGATTTTTTTCTGACCATCAAAAATTATGAAACGGTTGTTATGGAATTTTCCTTTTTTGGTGCACTTAAACGTTTGTATGATGCCCAATATTTTGCGAAGTTTTTAACATTTTTAAATCTAATAATAAATGTCAAATTATAAAATAATGAATAATAATAGATATCAAGTTATAAATTAACAAATAATAAAATTGCGGCCGATTAATATAATATTTCAAGCAGCGTCAACAAGCTACTAAACACACGAATTTTCCAAAACATAATAATAACAAAAATTTTCCAAATAAAGAAAACAAGTGTGAGATATCACGTGTTCTTGGCTTCCCACTTTTTTCCATTATTCCAGATTATCTATTCCTCGGGTTCGTGAAGTGTCCACGAGAGGTCTGGTTTGGACATTAACCAATACTCTTTCAGATTCATCTTAATATAGTGGGGACAGAACTCTTATAGTTTTATAATATTACAGAAAAAGCTTTATAAATCTAATAATTCAATTTTATAAATTTATCTTACAAACCAGTTGCGTGTGTACAACGTGTGACGTGTTGCACGTGAATGTCTGACATCGGCCATTCGTGCATCATTTCATGTTTTTCGAATTTTTAAATTTAGTTGTCTGGAAAATATTTCCAAAGATTTACATTATCCAAAAATATAAAAAACTAATAATCAATTTTTTCAAAATTTCTCAAACCTTTATACTCCTCTTAAATTTATTTGAATTCAATTTAGATTTTTTTATTTCTTTTTTTACGTTAGTTCTTTATATAAGTATTCTTGTAAAAATCACAACTTGTAAAATAATCACAACTATGTCTTTTTCTTCTAAGAATTTGTTCTAGAACTACCCAGACAGCACACATTTCCAAAATAAATCCAAAGGATATCCAGAAGATGTTCTGTCGTCCCAAAAACGTCTTCAGGATATTCTCTGGACGTCTTTTAGATATGCTGTGCTGTCTGAGTATTGTCTAGTTTTTATCAAAAACTTATATTAGAAAATTTTATATAAGTATAAATAATATTATACTTTTCAGAAACATTAAAATTTTTTTAAATGTTTTTAGTAAAATATAACTTCGTGCTCGGTATCTTCATTTTTATTGTTAGCAAACTAGCGACTTTCACGTGGAATTTCACAGACGTTTTCATCATATGGGTAATAAAATTTTGTAAATAATTGAATGTAATATTTCTTTCTTTATTCAAAATTAAATATTTATAGTCTTTGATCAGTTCGTCTTTTTCTAATTTTGATCAACTTCTTCAGGTTGCTATCGGTTTAGCCGAAAGATACAAAAAGTTGAACAAACAAGTAATAACTTCTGCTTCAAAGCATCGAACAACAATAGATTGGTGTGGAATTCGCCAAGACTATACTGCTCTTAATTGCATGGTGAAAAAGGTGGATAATGACATGTCACCCGTAATTCTTCTGTCATTCACAAATAATCTTTACTTTATCTGTTTGCAGTTATTAAACGGATTGTCGTAAGTAGAACATATAGGTATAGTAAGAAAAATACTAAAATCAATTGTTAGTATCAGTTAACCAGTTCAATGGTAGACTTTTCTGAAAGATTTGTGCCAAAAGTGGTAAGAGTCAAAAGTTAAAATATTGAAAAACGGTGAAACATGGGTT